TATGCATATCCATTTTTTTCTCACAGAGTTTTTTTTAAACAAGCATTTCACTTACAAAACGCGCATTGGTTGTTACATTTTCTTTCTCCTTGGCAATGCTTTCTTTTCTCACGACAAGGAGTAGCTGTGTTTATATATCAATTGTGAAGGGTTAGGGTTAACATTTTCAGGAAATATATCAGCTACTATCTTGTGTAAAAATTGCAATCTACTTACGTTTTTATTCCAACTTTTTTGGGCAATATGTGTGCATTTACTGTTGCGATATCTAGAAAATTTTATAAGATTTGAACTGGCTATCAAATTGTTCTTGCACGCACTGAATACATACGATCTGATCTAATGCATCAACTCCGCCTTCGGGTTTTTTTATAAAACATAACCGTCTTCGGCTTCTTTTTCCCGGTATCTTGCGGGCTCATGCTGTCATATAAAATTCTCAGAATTGGAACATATTAATTCTTTTTGCTCTTATAGCCAGTGACAGTTGGACCAAAGTTGTTCTTGAAAAAATCAATACGATACAACTATCTTAATTCTGTTTACCGCTTTTGTGCTTCAGATGGCAGATATCGGCGATTCATTCTCATTGTATCTACATAGCTATTTTTATTATTGTTCAGCTTTTTGCCAGTGACGCAGAAGAAAAAGTTATCGTAGGTCACGTTCAAGACGTTCTTCTGGTAACGTTCAGTGAGTTTTAGTACCACATTTGCTGAAAGAGTCTGAGATTGAGGTTTTGATTGATCTTTTCCTAAGTATGGAAATACATTTAGAAAATATTTAGTTTGTGTATCAACCAGCATCCAGAACGTTATACAAATTGTGTTAGGTTTATATGGCATGTTTTGCAGAGACCTACATCTGCTCTGTGTGAGTTGTTCATCAATGGTCAAATTCTTCTGTGGATTGAAACAAGGACTAGGAGTTTTGAAAAAATATTTCCCAGAAACTCGATGCAAGTGCGGATTTATCTTTGTTCAGTAGTTACTTTCTTTGATCCAGCAAATCGATCCTCAGTTATTTAAAGATTTCTAGAAATCTGTTTCTTGTCAGACACAATTTAAACACATATTTATACCCCATTCGTGTGACCACCATACTTAGGTGCGCGAGTTAGGTGTGCGAGATCAAAAGCTCCTAGGGCTTGGAAAAGCATAGTGTGTCAAAATGACTACTGGTGGTCGTTAGAGGTGTATCTAAGATTTTTCCAATTCTATGAAAATCACAGGATTGGGTTTTACAGCTCATGAAGTTTCTGTACTAAAGAAAGACATTACAAATAATCAATTTCCTAACTATGAAAATTAAAAAAAAACTACGTCGTAGTATTTATCACAAATGTGTCATTTTGACACACTCGGTCCTTCTGGTGTTAAAACACACATGTTTTAGCGTGGCCTGAAAATAACCTAAAAATTGTCAGATCCACTTTAGTTGAATGAGATGCGTCGTCGATTTGCTAAAATCGGATACTCTTCGTCCACTAAACCACTCTCTCTCTCTCTCTCTCTCTCTCTCTCTCTCTCTCTCTCTCTCTCTCTCTCTCTCTCTCTCTCTCTCTCGCGCACACGCACACACACACACACACACACACACACACACACACACACACAGGATGATTCAGTCTTTGTTGCTAATACGCCACAGACATATCTCATATGTCATGTACAGACTGAATTTGCCAAAGTTGGATACTCTTCGTCGTTAAGTTTTGTAAATAATTAAAGTTTAACTTTGCTCTATGCGCTTGTGTTCGCGTAACACGGGCTATACAAAGTGAGCAAGCGGCTGCACTTCGCGTTAAGGCTCGCCACTTTTCTGGAAAACCCAATTATTAACACTATTCGCTAAGGCCCGAAAGCGAGCGCAAGGCAAATAGCGCACGAGGTCAATGCATCACAGTCACTTGGCGAACAATTCATGCAGAGAGATTTCGACCTTTCCATTTCCACCCGGTGCAGCATTTGCGCAGTAGAAACTTATGTCGTTCTGAATTCTCGAGGCATTTCCTGCGCAAATGCAAGAAGAAACAGGAATTTCTGAAACCGTTCTTTGGACAGATGAAGCGTATTTTAAAAGAATTGGAACGATTAATAAGCATAATTTGCATTTGTGGGCTGAGAGAAATTCACATGTTCACACTCATCCACACTGATTACCTGTAATTGTGTGGATGAAGTTACCGGCGGTCCTCACTTCTTACCCGAGTGTTTCAGAGGCCATTTTGGTGAATTTTATAACTCAGGTACTCCCTACGCTTTTGTAAAACGCTTTTGTTCCGTTCAATGTGCGGGCACAGATGTAGTACCACCATGAAGGCGCAGTTTATGATTGGGCAGTAGATAGAAGCGGTAAGAAAGATCGTGTAGAAAAAGCGATAAACGTTTTGTGATATATGGCCCTGATCTTGCATTTTGTATATATAGTTAAACACTATTGGTTTTAATTTCACGAATGAAATAGTCGTCATATTGCATTTGTAGTAAGACGCAGAAAAAAAATGAATATTTGCAATTTTCAAAAATCAGAATTTTCAACGAACCTGAACCATTCTCTTAAACATCCTATAAGGTATCCGAGTTCAACATTTACTGAAAATTGGTGCCGTTTTTGAGAAAAATGTATCGAATGTTCTTAAAAAAAATTTTAATTACCTATATTTTACACAAAATTACGCTGAAAGAATGGGGGAGAAGACGTATAGTACAATTATTAGTAGGTAACCTACAATTTGTTTACCTGATACTTTATTTCCATTGTCTTTGCTGATACCTTATAATACCGCCGAAGGATTATGTTCATTCTATGACACCATGGAACGTTCAAAATCTAGTTTGCACGTCTTTATTTATAGGTAGCAGCACTATAGTTACGCTATCAATTGTTACGTTTCCGTGGCAACTTAAATGAATATCGAGACTGAACAAATTTGTAACTATTCGAAACTAATTGTAGTTCTGAAACCGTCGGAAATATGACAAGCATTATCTTTTTGTTTTGGGCATTTTACATCTATATGCTCTATTTTATTTCATTAATAATAATTCCTGTCGTAATATCGCATTTGTATTATTTGTCTCAAATGTGATATTTATTGATTTCTCAATTCACCTTTCACTGCCGCAAAATCAATGGGCTCGTCAAAGATGACTCAAACTGTGTAAGACACGAGGTGAACAATCAATAACACCATGGAAACAGATATCTATCAAGCAGACTAATGAGAGGAAGAAGATAATGTATTCCAAACATCAAAAATAGAACAACAATTTGAATTCCAGACAATATAATTCAAAACAAAATTATAGTCTTACCAACTATGTCTGAAAGTAAATAGTAACCATATTTGATAAAGAAATTCAAGTTACAAGTGATTCTAGCAATTGTTCATCCAAGCATATCTTCTAATAAAATGATCAAGGACAAAGATAGCAAAATGAATAAAGTGAAAAGTGATTCCATGAACTATTCACCTTCCAATTTTAAATTAAGTTGTAATGATCAAAGTGTCAACCAGTGCTTCCACATATACATTGTTATCTAAAATTGACAGACAAAAGTAATATTTCCACCTGTTACAATAACACTTGTTGATTTAATAATAAAATTTGTTAGTAAATGTGAAACATTACAGTATTCATCAGGAAATTAAAAAATCAATGTACTTTTAAATTTTAATAAATGTTTTATATTTTTTAATACTGTTTTTTATTATAATTCTTTGAAAAATATATTTTGTAGTTTTAAGGAAAGTGAATTTTTAAACAACAGCATTTCATGGATTCCTCTGAATTCGCAATTAAACTTTTAGGAATGCAACTTTATTTGACATTTCAAAAATAAGATTATTTACTTCCTTGGAAATTCACATTAAATTATTTGATACTGTAAATATAATAAGGCCAATACCTGGTACATAGAGAATAAATAAGTAAAGTAAAAACAAAAAATCAAATATGTATATTTCTTATTTAATACTTACTATTAATTACTAAGTGCAATTTTTGTATATATATCTGATTGATTTATTACTTGCCACTTATCAATTATATGTTTGTTTATAATATAATCTTTTTTTAAAATATAGAAACATTTCCTTGGAAGTGTTGTGTTATATAAGCAACTATTGATTGCTTACTTGCTCCAGGTCTTGGGGAGTTCAGAAGGCACAATGATGGCAGTAAAACACATCACATATCAGAGTTCACTCTAAACATTTTCTGAATGACACTGGTTCCATGTCCAAACTACAAGGAATAGTTAAAGGTAATGCTTTACTATTAGAGAACAATGCTAAGGAATATGCACAATTGCCTAAAAAACATAACTATGAGTCTTTTAAAGCATGTAACAAATTCCAGCATGATGATCTTTTACATTGCCTTTATTCAAACACTCAGAGCTTGAAAATTCATTAGTTTTTTTGGCACACACATTTTATAGGTTTATATAATATGATGTAGATATAGTTTGTTTACAAAAGAAAAATATAACCTTTGACCTGTCACTTTTAAAAGAAATATGATTAACATTACAATGTTTTTTGTGTATTGTGCATTCAATATTGTTTTTTTGGGATCTAGTTGGCAATTTTATTATATTTAGGGAAATGCCCTGTCTTTCCATCTCTCCATTTTTTAAACATGAATACCAAGTAAAGAAATTTGGCAGGAATTACAATTTTCTTTTCAAATTCAATTTTGATATAAAATTATATTAAAATATAAAGAGAAAAAAAATTGATTATATATTTGACAAAAGTACAAGTATTGGAAGTAGTATAAGAAGATGGAGTATAATATTTTAGTTTTCATTTGTATAATACTTTCAATTGTTTTCACTCAACCTTTTAAAAACATTTTCATGTTTTTCTTTCCTGCATTGTTTTGATGATGAGATCTTTCTATGAATGTTTGTACTTTTTATTATGATGTTGTTTCATTATTTTTGTTCTTTTCTACAGTTTCCTTTTCATGTTAATTCTAAATATTCCCATCCTCCAACATCCATGGAGACTTACTTTTTAATCAACCTGTTTTTCCTTGTCTATAAAACTGATTCTCCCTTCTGTATGAGTCATCTTACTGGAGGGGAGTGAATTATAAGCACACCTTGCATGGCTGAACAGCGTGAGCTGGGGGTAAACCAACCTAATGTTCCAGTCAAGTGTGACTGGACAGGCATGAATACAGGGACTGTGGTCAAGGACTTGCAAGCAGCACTTTTCCCAGTATGTACTAAGGGTAAGTGCTTGCTGCAATCGCATTGTCAACAGGTGATAAACATTATAATATCCCCTAAATGTACATTAATTTTATTTTCAATAACATTGTTTGGATTCTACCTCAATCAAATTTAATAAGTTCTACATCAATAAATTTAAAAAGTTCATGCTGTTAAAGGTGTTTGAAGCTTATTACTATATTACTACACCTATGATTACTATTTTATTATAAATTTTTTCATTCACAAATGTAGGCTAGTTTTCTTCGTGTTTTTTAAATTATTGATCAGTTCGCAAAACCCTTCAATCTCACCAAAAAATGTATTATTTCTCACATGGCATTACTTAATTTTTTAAATTTCTGCACAATTTTCTCACAGGTTAAAAGGAGAAAAATTGCATGTTAAATAAAGTTTTGGGATAGAACTTTCTGTTCTCTCAAAATATAATTTTTTTAATTGCACAAAGGTAGTACATGAACTCATAATGTACGATAGGAAACCTTAGATAGGAGTTCTAAAAGTCTGTTTGTGTGAATATATTAACAACTGCAAACATTAGCCAATATATTTTAAATAAAAATACTAAATAGTTTACTTTTTCTTGTTGAAAAGTTTGGTTTCATACTATTTTATAATTTATTTCTTTATACAAAATATTATCTTGAAAATTAGATAAAAATATCATATTTTGTGTTCTGAACAAGTATATTTTGCTTTGATATCATGAGAAATATTTATTTCTCCATTAATGGATATAATTTTTAAATATTCTGAATCTAATATTTAATATTTATTATTTTAGGAAGCTACTTAAGCAGTTTCTTACAAAATACCTTAAAATCTAATCAAGTAGAAATAAATACTGACAGCCGAACATTAAAACCCATTGCCAAATTAAAGGAACCTCGTGATCTGTTTGCTTTACCAAAAGAACTTGATTGCCCTCAACAAGCAGCAAGATGGCCAGCTGAATGTCAGGTTAGTGCATAAATTTGTAGCCGTTTTTACAATATACATGGTACAATTCAACAAATGCAATGTGTTTTACAAAGAAAACAAAGGTGATAACAAAAAAGTTGTAGTCATGAGAAATCTAAGAAAGAATACCTCAAATTTGTCTAGAAATATTTGGGACGAAATTCAAGAAACAATGTTTGAATGTTCACAGATGAAAAATTATAACTGTTGAATTTTTTCAGATTCACAAAAATATGAAAAAGAAGAATATCCTCTATCACATCTTTTTTATATTATATCTTTTAAAATCTTAGATTCAAAGAGTCAGTTACAGCAATTCAACTTACAATATGTTGATAATAAGACATTCATATAATCAGAATGAGATGTGACTACTTTCCACAAACAAAAATGTTGCATATGTTCTGCTTCAAAGTATAAGATGTGAATAAATTTAGATAGATCACTTTCAGCTTATAAAAAATTAAAAGAATTAAATATACAAGTTTTGTCTCCAGACTCTGAAGTGATTTTTTTGTGTTAGTTTCTCATAAAAAAGTGAAAAATATAAGGGAACGTGAAATAAATCACTTGGTCCTCCCTACACATTACTTAACTATGATGTGAATTTTAGTTTTTGTAACAGTCCATGTCTAAGTCCATGCCTACAAGGAATATTTTATTTGTTTCATTAGTTTTGTTATTTTCGTGTCATATTGTTTTAAGCATCCTTCTGTTATTTTCGTATCATATTGTCTTAAGCATCCTTTTCCATCCTAAGCATCCATGTCCTGTTCTTCAGTCATGTCCTATATAATTAAATTCTATTCTGTTTTCTACAGACTTTGCTTGCTCCATGATTTTTATGTTCTCTTCTTAAAACTTGGTTCTTACTACCATTTATTGCAATTTCATACATTTATTTATTATTTGTGAGATATGAGACCATCTGTATTTCAATATTGTCAATCATATAATGTTTTTGGCAGTGTCTTACCAACAAGAGACACCCCTAGTAACTTTTATATGGTTGACAATATTAAAAATGCAGGTTTCACTGAACAAAACTGAATCGTAGGTCAAGTTTTTTTTGGTGAATTTGTATCTTTGATCTTTTTTTAAGGAACTGTTAAGATTTTTCTCATACAATTAATTTATCATGAAGATACATCTTTGCTTAAGAAAGGGCACTAAAAAAATTCAAAGACATGTAACAGAAGGTTTTCTGTGTTTTACTGTAATTGCATCTAAAGAATCCAAGGCAATTTCTATATCTCGTTGCGTGATCATGATTAGAGCCTAATGTGTCATACAAATGTGAATTCTCTTTTATATAAAGAAGACATTGAAAAATAAAAATGGCTGGAACTGTCACAATGCCTAACTTAACAAAACTCAACTGACAGTGGCTGTGCATGGGAAGACCACAGAGTAATCTCACACATATTTTCTGCAGTTTAAATAGTCTATCAACAGACCGGTGACCCCAAAGTAGCACGGCATAGCTTAAATGACTATGTATATGAGAATTATATTATATATAATTAATTAGACAAATTCTTCCTTCTTTGAGAACAATATGAACCATTAAGCAAATATAGAAACAAATAGGAAGACAGAGGGCAAAGTGTACTTCTAGTTTGAGGCCATTGTAATGCCTGGTATTATGTTTTCTGAAATGTGGAAAATTTGCCGTGAATCAGCAGATGATTTTGCCTTGTTATTTTCAATTATAGTATATCTGGAAGAAAAAATATTCACTCATTCTAATCTCAAATGTTGATGTTTGTTTCTGTGTCCTTTCCATCATTGTAATGGATTGCTAGTTTCCCCTCCAATCTAGCCTTCACATCACTCTCAGCTGGGAAAACTGGGATACTTCTCTCTTTGGCAGTGAATTTTGCCAACCACTGCAAAATCAAATACAAAAATTGCCAGACCTGCATGTAATTTGAAATCACATGGCAGAGCATATTTTTTAACCCAACACACATTACTTTTAAAACATTAACAAATAATAAAATTGCACTCTTCTTATGATGTTTCCATTGCTGGTGAAAAAGCTATATAGTTCATCATCATTATCATCATAATTAACAAAAATAGCATTGTGTCTATTGACCTGTTTTGCCTTTGATCAATTCTTTCCATTGGTTTATTGGCCAGCTCTTATTACATTTCCCATTAGGATTGTAGTTGTAAAGGGTTTTTGATATTTGTACAGCATTCTTGATGAATTCAGAAAGCAAATAGAAGATCTACAAAAAACGTTAATGTTTCTGAAAGTAGACATGAAACATTGCATAAATCAAGAGATAAAAGAAATATCAAAGAAAAATCTAAGTAAACAGGAAAGTAACCAAGAAGAGAAATATACGAACACAAAAGAAAGAGAATGTGAAATCAAGACACCTAATGCAAAAGGATCTGCACTTACACACATGAAACACACAGAAGAAGAAGGGAAAGACACAAGTGAAGAAATTCCTGAAACAACAGAAATAACAGACATGACATCAAAAGACCAAAAGGAAAACAACGAAATGGTAAAAAATTACTCAAATGAAAAGGAAGATGAGAACACTGAAAACTAGGACTAATAAACAACTTGCCAGAGAAAACAACAAAGCAAAACAAGAAAGAGATAAATAATAGAAACAGTATCTACCTTACCAAAATACAACAGCAACAATCAAATCAGACAGAGTGTTCACAAACTAGAAAAAGTTTCAGAAACAGGGATAACTTTATAATAGGAAACAATGAAGACAAAGAGTTAAATATGGGAACTATATTCAAATGGTTGTACATAGGTAAATTGACACACAGAGTGACACAAAGACTGATGACATATAATGCAATTTTTAGAGAAAAAAGGATTAAAGGGAAGCAGATGCGAAGAGTTGAGAACACTAGGTTATAACAAAGCCTACAATGTTCAGATACCATTAGAAGAATCTGAAAGAGTAGAAGAGGAAATGTTTTGGCCTAAGGGAATTCTAATACAGCTATTTCGGAGAGCTCAAAAGAATGAAGGAGGGATGAGTTTATAATTATAATAAAAACAATAATATTGAGAAGAAGACAAAACGAAAGATAAAATAACAGAAGTGACAATTTAGATTTATTCAGTCAAAAAACTGTATGTGACGTAGGGGGGAGAAGATTATCTGTGCACGTTTTCTTGAGTTCCAGAATCCCTTTCTGTCATTTTAACTATAAATAGTTGAAAGATGAATAAAAGTTTAACATAAATGTATAAAAATTAATTTTAAAAATCGCAAGATTAGCAATATTTGAAAAATAGTCATTTTAATTTCCGAGTTATAGAAAATTATTTGCATCGGTACCCAAATTGCAAATAGGATTTTTCTGCATTGCTAACAATATAGCTACTCACCCTTACCTCTACTCTTACCATTACAAGCAAAAGGAGAGTTCAACAAAACGTGCGCATAGTGAAGCTACATTTACGTCCAGAAACAAAACAAGGAGCCATCTCAACATTTGCTCAATGGATCAGGGAAACTGGACAAAAACCTGATTGAGATGGGGGTAATATGGACCAATAGAGGATTTACACAAAAATGAACAGCATACACAAGTAATAACAAGAAGACGGGAAAATTCAATATCAAGAACTAAAAATTGTTATATAGAACATAAGAGGATTGGCCTACAAAGGAGAAAACCTTGAAACAAAAATCAAAGAAAGAAATATTGATTTTCTAATTCTATCAGAAACAAAAAAGGAAAGTAATGGGACTAAACAAATTCTCATATATTCAGGAGTAAAGCAGACAGAAAGAGCAGCAGCGCGAATTGCAATAATGACACACAAAAAATGGAAAACCTTTATTGAATATTATAAGTTTATTTCCCCAAGAAAAATAACTCTCAACCTTTGCATCACAGAAAGGAAATTAAATGTCATAGAAGTTTGTGCACCAACAGAAGGAAAAGAAGATAAATCCATACAATTTTATAGTCAGTTTCAAGTTATAGTAAACAAATGTCAAAAAAATGAATGCCTTATCAGAGCAGGAGATTGGCAAAATTAAAGAAGCAGAGGGGGAAATGACAATTAAAAACAATGGGAAACTGTTTATTGATTTCGGTGTCTTTAACAAACTAAGAATATTTCATTTTTCAAATTCAGTTTTTAAACATAAAGAAAAACTTAATCTACAAGACTACACTGAATATAAAACATTTAAAGCTCAGGCAAGAAGAATAACATGATGCGTTGAAAGAGACGACTTGAAAAAATTTGTAATGGCGCTAGAAAAGATCCCAAAGAAATGGTTAAAATATTAAGAATGCTGAGATTAGACACAAGGGACATAATCAATCAATTTGGACCTACTCCTGAAGTGAAAGTGGGTAAACTTCAGAATAGTAACAGACCAAGTATAAGCACAAATGACACTGATATTACTGAACAAAGTAGAGTACAGGAAATAATGCTAGGACTTGAAGCAGAACTAAAGAAAGCCAAAAATAGGAAAGAACCAAGTGTGGATCAAATCTCAATAGAACTTCTAAAATACAGTGGAAATGATCTCAAGAATACCCTAACAAAACTACTTAACAAAGCTTGGGAAGAGAATTCACTTCAAAGAGAATGGCAAATAGGAATAGTGATAAATTCACAAAGAAAGGATCCAAAACAACTATTCCAACAACTATAGAGGGATCACTCTCCTAGCTACAGAATCAAAACTTTTTGCTAGTATCTTAAGAAATAGATAAAATGAATACAGGGAAAAATTGTTGGGAGAAGAATAAAATGGATTTAGAGAGACTAGAAGTACCAAAGATGCTATTTTCATAGTACAGACAATCCTGGACAAACGAAATGAAGTGAACCTTCCAAGTTTCCTCCTCTTTATAGTCTTTGAGAAAGCTAATGACAGGATAAATAGAAACAAAAAGTGGGAAATACTGGAAGATGAAGAGATACCTGCAGACATAATAAAAGGAGTCTATATACAGACTCACAGATTAAAGTAAGAATGAATGATGGAAGCAATATAGACTTTTAGAACAACCAGAGACAGGGGTGTGGGCTATCACCATGCCTGTTTAACATTTATGCAAATCACATTTTCAAAAAGTGGAAACAATAAGTGAAAACCGGTATAAATTTCAACAAAAGACAAATGGTCCAAACAATTCTCTATGCAGACGACATGATTCTAACAACGAAATCAGAAGATGGCTTACAGAGGGCAGCAAATGAACTTCATAAAATAGCTCTAACATACAACACGAAAATCTCAACAAACATGACTAAAGCTATAGCATTCCAAGACATAGAAATGAGAAGAGTTAAAATTGTTGTAAATGGAAAAATTATAGAACAAGTAGCAAAATGTATGTATCTAGGAAACATCATTGGACAAAATTCAGAAGATCAAGAAAGAAAAATTCAAAAATATAATGGGGTAAATGGAATAATCAAGAAAAACTTTGGAAGAGATATGACAGCAGAAACAAAACTAATAATACACAACATAACATCTAAGACAATGTTAATGTATGGATCAGAAATATAGAGACAGTCAGAGATTAGAAGCCACACAAATGAGATTTTTGCAGCACCTGGTAGGAATTACATGTTTAGATTGACAAAGAAACACTGAAATCAGAAAAAAACTCCTAGCACAAAATATAGTGGATGACCTTACAGACAACCAGAGGAGATGGCTTTCAAATGTGTGAAGAATGCAGCGGAAAGATTTCCGAAAGCAGTTTTAACGTATATATAAGGGTGAATAAATATAGGAAGACCCAATAAAAGATGGATTGCTCAGGAACATTTGGAGGAATAATCACCAGATCTACTGTTTTTTAACAGGAATAGGCACGAGACGTACTATCCTGCTGTTGATGATGATTCTCATTAAATGATCAATTCCTGCATGGTGTACTTATTTTTTCTGTTAGGTTGAAGATCTTTAATTCATCTCTGATATCCAAGTTTCTTTTATCGTTCTTCTATGTTCTAGTGTTAAATGTAATTTCTTAATGAATCTCATTTCAATGGCTATTAATTTCCTCTTATCTGTTCTATTGTGGGTCCGATTTTCACATCCATAGGTTACTACTGGTTACCATAGATTACCATTAATTTAAAGAATTTTCGTTGCAAGTCTTTACGTGCTTTTGGCCATTTTTTATTTTTCAATTGATCTAATATCCATGCATGATCATAAATAAAATTATTTATGATATTTATATCATATAGTACATAATTTGTTTATCTTAACAGGTTCTTGAAGATAGAGTTCATCACATTGAGTATGTACCTCCAGTTCCTGAACAGTATTATCAGCCTACTGGACAGGAGGTTCAACCAAAACCAATTGGAGAGGAGGCTGGCCAAGTTGTCTTCCAGTACTATCCAATTAGTGCAGTGAATTATGTTAGTGCAATCTTGATTGAAGAACTTATAGTGTTTGTTAAAGCACTTAGTGAGACTTCAGCCAAGAAGATAAAATTTGGTTATAAAATATATAATTTTGGTTATAAAATGCCATTACCATTATAGTTATGGTACTTCTCCATTACAAATAACCCAGAATTCATTCATATACCTATTCAATATCCATTCAATATTCAATATTTCATACATATATCCACACAATTTTAAAAATTGCAATTTAAACCATTCTTGAATCGAATTCTTCTATGCCCTTAATTCATAATTTGCATTTTACCTTTATGAAAAGTTCTTGGGAAAAAGAATTATGAATGCTTTCAAAATATCCTTTGCAGTATGAGAGAAAATTAATTACCAATTAGCTAGAGGATATTGTTTTCTTTTTATTTATATTAAATTAAATTTAATGAACATATTGAGCAATGGCAGATACATGGGTAGGGACATGGCATGTTCTACAAAGCCAATATGTTTTGTAATTTTATTCAGTTCATTCAAAACAATTCCTAATATTGATCACATCACATCCAATGTATTCCCGTTATGAATTTACACTTTTTATTTGAGGCTATTGATTTAACATTTTTTCTTTCTTGTTATTGTTGTTGTTCTTCTTCTTCTTCTTCTTCTTCTTCAGAAACATGTGCATGGGGAGGGGTGTATGAACAAGAATCAGCACACTTCCCATTGAATTACTTTCTGGATGCATCCCTGACATTGGTGGAAAACATTCTACTTAGGAACTCCCTTACTTGAGTTTTGTCTCATTTTGTATTCCGTTCATGATGTGGATAATTGGAATGGTGTATAATTTCACCAGGAATGTAATTTTTCCTACCTTTAATCTTTATAATTTCATGTAGTGGGTTAATAAGAGACTACCTCTAATTTTAATTACAAAATCTCACAAACCATATTCAACAGTTGACTTGGTAAGCTATCTAGAAACAATAAAAAAAATTATCTCTCATGGCTGAATAGGTAACAAATTTCAAAAATTCCAATTGTTTTACAAAATAATGCTAGTGTTAATAGCAAGACAATTCAGGTGATGCTCTCTTTGAAATAGTTATGAAAGAAGCATATATGAGCTCTAAAAATGAATACTGATAGGACAACACACAAAAGATGCAAGTTTGCAATATTTACCATCTTAATCCACTAACACCCAACATAATTTTGTGTGCGTAGCAGTCACCCAGTGTTGTTTTGTCCCTGCATGCAGAATCATTGTTGGAGCTCTGTGATAGCATGATTTTACAACTTTTAGTGCTAAACCATTGTTATGTAGCTTGGGTGCAGACAGACCACTGTTTGCTTTACACCAGCCTCCCCTCCAACTTAACCATTACTTTAGCATGGTTTCGGAAGGAGATTTGAAATGATGCAAATCATGAATATAACCTGCCCAGGAGTGTACAATGCTTTAGTGACCTCAGCTAAATGGACATTTAGTATGCAAGAATTTCAAAACTTCTTCTATGTTTCTAAAATTTCCAAAGAATCTCTATTCAAAATATAAATTAAATCAAACAAGGAGAAGTGTCAGGAAAAAAATAATACATTTATTGATCTATAAATAGATTGCTGGGTGTTAAGGGACTTATAACACTTGTAGTAATCATAGGTGATACAGACAAAAAAAGGAGGGTTGCCAACTTCCAAGAAAATTGGGCTTTAAAAAAAGAGGAGAGGGTATTAAGAGTGAAATTACTTCATATACTTGACATAATATTACAATTAACGTTAGTATTCATATGTTTAACAAATAACAGATAAACTTTTATTTATTTAACAAACACATCCAATGTTCAATTATATTCTGAACACAATTAGACTAAAGTACAATATGAATACTTTCTTACTTACTAATTTTTTTTTCTGAATATTTAGCTTAATCAAAAAAAAAAGATATATCATGCAACATGACATTGCAGATGTTAAAGATTTTGTTATATTAGCTACTTTGTTATATTATACTAACTAGGGATTTGTATCCATGAGTATTGTTAAAAAAGTTATAATTTATTTCATTTTTATGGAAAAAGAGGAAATTATTTATACATGCAGGATAGAGGAGGACAATTTGTATCAATGGATGACAGTCCTTCTAAATCGATAAGGCAACCCTAAAAACAAGTGAAGCAAAATATTTATAATCTCTCAAGCTTTAATTTGCATTTGCATTAGCTGATCTTCCTTTAAAATATATCATTTGTGGCATTTTGACAATAAGATAAATAATAATTATTTATAATGTTATAATTGTTTGAGAACTTGAATTCCAGGGATCTATTCAGTATCAATTTATTACCTAAGTTAGAATTAACCCCAAAACGCTCACGTCTGCACTCAATATCACAGAGTTTCCAGGCTGATAGGTCATAATCCAGTAGGTGTTGAAGGGCCAAATGTTTTGTCCACAACTACAACTACTAATAACATTAATACAATTATCAGAGAAAGTTTCTGAGTTTGTAGGCTGTTGTGCCACTGGCGTTGAAGTGTCAAATGTTTCGTCCATGACAATGGTAGACATCCTAGTGGCGGCAGGCTCGCAGCCCAGTCGCCAGACAGCTGCTGCCCCAGATACTGCACCTGTGACCCCGCCACCACAGAGGATATCCACCATAGACGTGGACCAAATGTTTGGCCCTTCAACGCCAATAGAACCACAGCCTACAAGCTTGGAAACTTTCTCTGATATTTATATTAATGTTATTAATTAGTCCAGGTGTTTATCAAAACTTGAATTTACTTGTTTATTGCATTAATTAATTCACAATGTAAAAAGTTGTCTGATGATGAAGACACAATCATCTTCAAAATGATGTGAATAAACAGACACTACAAGAGCATTAAAATTTTTTCTTCAGTTGTTCCTGATTGATCCAAATAAGTGGAAACTTCCAGAAATAAAATAACAATCCTGGACAATCACAAAATATACAGAGTGGATCATTCTTTACTTTGTATTTTTTTATTTAAAAATAAAGATAGATATTCACTTAAACAAAATATTTGATTTGCATGTCCATACTCTCCGAAGATCAATTTGATTTTAAGAAAGGAAGATGCATTAATGACGCCATTCTCTCACTATGTGCAGTGATTGAGAAACAATGAAGACAAGGATATGTTTATGTCTTCATTTATTTAGAAAATGGGCAGGGATTTTGGGTTGTAGTTATTTAATGTGTGTATCCAGTGAGCTGTGGGTGTGATTAGAGAAAGACTAAAGCAGACATGAGGAATAAAGATTTAAGAATATAGTTATGTTTTTGGTAAGCTGATTACATTGCCATACTAGCAAAGTATGAGTAAGTTTTTTTAAGGCAATGACAGAATAATTGAACTGTATTCTTGTAAATGGATAATATGTGGCTGTCAACAAAGATGAAAAGAATGTGATGGTAGCAGCATCCAAATTGATGTGATCCTATGAGGAAGACACCTCAACAGACATTGAAGAAATAACAGATCTTGGAGATTTAATCAGAAGGATTAAAACAAAAAAGACAGCCTTCAATGAAAAACAGAAACTCTGCATGCCTAATAACAAATTGAAAATAAGGAAACAAGTCCTTTTAAGTTAATGGGGACGTGTGCTCCTCTATGGAAGTGAGTTCTGGACTCTTAATGGTACACAAAGATGGAAGAGGAATCAAATCTTTCAAGTTACAATTATAAACCATTCTTGTTAAAGCACATGAGAAAAAGAAGGAATGTGTAGATGGATAGAAGTCATCATTTGTCATGAGTTTGCTGACCACATTTGGAAGAATAGGACAGTGGTGGATCCCGGGTTATTATATGGTTATTATTTAACAAAAATCTATGATCCCCCCTTCCCCACAGATTAGCAGGATCCGTCTCTGGGATACAATAATGGAAATAGAACTACAGAGGCAAGCATCAGATTGGGCTAATTTGGAACAACTGGAGAAAGAAATGGGTTGAAAATTATACATGGATATGAAGAGATTGACTCCAAGAGCAACTGGAGAACTGTTGCCTACCAATTTCAGGTTTGACAACCTTAAAAGACCTTCACAAAAGTATTTAAACAAAAAGTTCTGTTAAATTGTATCCTACACATTTTTGTCCAGTTTGTCCTTCTCCGGTTCCGTGATCGGTTGTTTTGTTTTTGCAGACGAAACTGCAAAATGTTTAATGTATCTGATCTGAAAACTGATTACATCTTCTCAGTTCCATTAATCAGGTATCCCTTTATTATCTTTATAAAAGTGGGCTCTGATCACGAAAAATCGGTACAATCGATCTTTCGACCCATCGGGTTCCCATCGAAAATTTTGGTTTCCGTGAAAACTCGATTTTCTTGCCTCTTCCGGGCGCGCAAGTTGAACATGGAGCGTTTCGAGGACACAAGCTGCGTTGAGCGATTCAGGAAGGGTGTAAGCTCCTTCGATTGTAAGATGGTAGGTGTAAGCTCCTTCGCAGTGGCAGCACGATTCTCCTGCTTCGACTGAGCGTATAGCGACTGAATCCCGCGGTCAACTTTTCCTAAGCCTCCCCAAAAATGCATAGTCCGACTGCATCACGTTCCGCTTTCCTGACTATAATAATACTATTACTTTAAGACTTTCCTGACTATTTATGCTCATACTTAACACATTCACGCATATTTAGCAGATGTGTATAATCATTCTTATATATCTAGGAAACACCCAAAAATGTTTTAACTTTATATTAACACCTTACTTACACACAGCTTAGCATTACACTAACCCACGCATGCCCAGATAACCGACAGCGATAGCCGACAGTTATGAATTTTCTGTTAAAAGTAAATGAATGTAATGTAAACGCATTGGATTGTTTCTACGTTCACTGTATTCTGCTTAGTATTAAATTCATCCATTATAATCGATCCACTTCCGTATGTTTTCAAGAAACATTTGTGTCTAGCGGAGATTTATAGCGACCGGCTGCTCTGGTCTGTTGTTTCCCGTGGTTTCTCCGATCAATACTAGGCGGATTCCGGAGCAGTACCCTTACAAACGGCACACGGACCGCGCGCGATCGTTCCTTCCCCATCCTTGTACTATCCTCATCTCTTACTTACCCACACCTATACTTACACCTACACCTTACTTACACACAGCTTAGCATTACACTAACCCACGCATGCCCAGATAACCGACAGCGATAGCCGACAGCGATAGCCGGCAGCGATAGCCAGCAGGTACGTCGGCCCCGGATCTCACCAACTTGCGGGGGAAGATCTCCGCCTCCTCCCGAGGAAAGAACATGTCCTTAGGAATTTACGCGCCCGGAATCACTAATCAATCAATCAAGAAACATTTGCATGTCCTTTTTGAGCGCTGCCGACGTTGAAAAACCACCTCTTAAAAGTTTGTGGAAACAAAACTTGAAACCTCATAGCGAGCATCTTCTTACCTCGCTCACTTGACATACGCAATTCCGAATATTCTGCCATGTTCATCTGTGATCGAGGTTTCTTCTGGACAAGAGCAAGAACATCTGTTTGCGTTACTTATGAGTGCAAACTTTAACATGATTACTCCAACACCGAATTAACGAAAAATGATACAGACGGGATATGCCTTTTCAAGCAAAGAAAGTTAAAATGGATTAGCTGTGTTCTATCTTTCTTAATGAATTATCTCAAGGGTTACATTAACAATTGCTTCTTTCAAACAATTACAGAGTTCTTTCCTCTTACCCATTTTCTAGAAGATGAAACCATTAACCAGTGAAGCACTAAAGAGCACTTGGTCACCGTTATGCTCAGACCGTTACTAACTCAAAGTTCGTTTGAAAATTCCCCATTTAAACTAAGGTTTGTACTTCTTAACTCAATCGTACGAACATAAAAGGTGCATCAATGTGGTGACCTATATTTCTACATTTTCTACACCTCATACCGCGAAAAATAATAGCATTTTAAGGCATGCAATACCTTTCTTATATATCTAGGAAACACCCAAAAATGTTTTAAAGCAAATCAATACTGAAAAACGAAAATCAGTATTTATTAAAAAAGATTATTTCCTTTACCATACTGTTGAAAAAGATACAAGGTATACGAACAGGAATGGAACATACTGTATGCATGTCATAATATACATTTTACTAATCTCAGATATCCATTCATTAAGTCAACAGGTGCCTTTTTACTTCTGTCTCAACTTGTAGTATTTTCTGTGCTTTTACAGCAGTATGCTGCGAATTGTGCACAGATTTGCTGTCTTGCAAATTGTGCACAGATAATCAATGCTCAACATATTTTTTATGACTTCAAACATATTAACACTTTCCAGTGCCCACCATGAATGATTTTCAATAAATTGATCAACTTTCTGTTAGGAATGTCTTAAAATAAAATTTTGAAATAATTCCTAAATTTCAATATATTCTCCAAAGAAAAATGTGATCAATTTATGATTCTCTGAAAATAAGTGATATTGAAGAAGTAATATATTTGAAATGTGATTTTATGTAGATTTGAAATGTTATTTTGGAAGCATGACTAATTTTTTAAAGCACTGGTGTGTTTCTTGTTACTCATAATTTGTAAATCCAAGGTTTGACTTGTGGTTGTGGTAATGTCATTTTAAAATAAAGATTCATATTATTTATATTAAATATTTACATTATATTATTATTACCATAATTTATAATAAAAAAGGTTAGTAATTATTGGAATAAGTAGACCTCGGAATTTTAGTAACCAGAAGTTATGATTGAAGCATCTAAAATAGGTAACAACATGACGAAATTAGGCACTATTAGACATGAAAAGGTACGTGTTCGGCACTTAAAATGAAAATTAGACATAAACAAGAACATTAGAAAAAGAACATTAAACATAAAAAGTTATGTTTCTGGCATATAAACTGCTCACAAAAGAATTAAATTAGGTTCTTTTTATTATGCAGGAAAGTCAGGTATATTCACATTTATGAGAGAGACTACAAGCATATTTTTTATTCACTTTTTCATTCACGCATATTTAGCAGATGTGTATCATCAGTATTTACTCCAAATGTTCTACAATAAGGCTGCCTTTCATCTGTTAAATTCATTTTGAAAACTAAAAATGACTTTTCAACTGATACAGATTTGTTGGAGCAAACATAAATTTAGTCACATTTCTCATGCCCACTTCCTCATTCTCCCCCCCCCCCAAAAAAGCTTGTACTACACGACCCATTTAACCACTGGGTCGTGCTTCGTAAGCTTCACCTTTCCAGCAGTAGGCTTTTGCCTGACCTGTGTCTTTCCTCGCAGTGTCTGCGCAGCTGCACAGGGAACGGGTGCAATTGCCTAAGAAGTGCGTGCTACTCGGAGACGTGCCTAAAACTTCCTTATGACGTTAACTTGTACAGCTCCTTGTATTTGGTGTGTTGGGTGAAATATTACTGTGCATTGTCGATTGCGCATTCGATCAAATAATATTTGCGTTTCGGGAAATTCGGAAAAGTATTTGAGTTTCCGTAAAACAAATTTCAAAAATTAGTAGCCTAATTAAAATGTGATAATTCTTCAAAATCACTTGTTTTAGGCAACAATATATTAAAATAGGCATCAACCGCCCTTTAGGACATTTGAGGCACTATTAGATGCTTTCAATAAATCTATTTTTTTACGATTCGTGAACATCTGCAATTATTTTCCACAACATTCTAAAAGAACTAAATAGGCATTTGTCCTAAACTCCGAGGGCTAGTAATGAGGTACTTCTAAAGGTAGTTATTCTCTCTCTCTCTCTCTCTCTCCATATATATATATATATATATATATGTAATACTATTTAATATTATGTAATATAAAGAT